CGCGCCTGGCTGCTGCTGCCCCCCCCCGGCTGCTCATCGTCGAACTCTTCGGCGTCTGAGCGTCTCTTCTTCGTCTCGGCCGTCCCCCCCCGCCCCCCTCTTTGCCCGCCAGCCACTTCGCTAGTCAGTGCTCCCTTCTAGCTTCTCGCTGGAGCGGAGTTCGCCGCCTCGCCGCTGACGAAAATACTGTTTGTGACCTAGGCCCGCCGCGGCCAGAAAGCTCCCGCTTTCCTCACTATGCGCTCCTTCTGGCAGCACGATGGCCGTACGACGCCTCCTTTCTCGTGGTGCCTTGCCGCTTGTCGTGCGAACTCGTGGGGCAGGTCGGGGAGTCAACGTGCCGGTTCGGGGAGGCGGCTGGGCGGACCTGCGGGTGGAGCAAGGGCTCCCGCGAACTCGCGCAGTGATTCGCGCTGCGCGGTCTGGGCCCGGCGGCGGCCTGGGCCCTACTCTGGGGGGGTGGGGCGGGGCGAGAGCGCGAAGTTGTTCGCGCTTCCCACTGCGGGAGGCGCAAACCGCGAACTCATGAGTCCGTGGCGGACGGCCATGCCAGGGCAAGCGGGCGCCTGCGCACTGGCATGCCGCCATTTGGCTCGCAACCCCGGCAGGGTCCCAGCCACGCCTGCAGGCCTCTTTGTGGCATTGCGGCCGCCCCGCGCTTGCTCTCAGCATGGCCGGCAGGACCCCCGCCTGCCCTCTGCAAGCTGTACGGCAGTTTCGCGTCGTGTCGACGTGGCGTCGATCCCGCCGTGGGCGTTCATGGTTGAACGCTGCCATCTAGGCCTCCCAGATGGGGTTCAGGTAGATGGGTTCGGTGGATCGCGCCACATCGCCGATACATCGGCGATGCGGCTTGATGCGGAGACCGATTTTCTCCACGACGATGGCGCCGATGCATCACGGACGTCGCCAACGCATCGGTGATGCATCGGAGGTGCGGCGCGGTGCTCCCACCTATCGGATTTGCCGACGTTTTTGGACGAGCGCATCCTGGATTTTGACGGTCCCGTCTTTGTGGGATGTTTGCAGCGGGAGCTCGCGTCAAATTTCAGATTGGGCCTCGTCATTTCTATTATGGCCCCGTCAGGCCATCCCGAGTCCCCCGTACCCGAGTCTTACGTCTCCCCGAACCTACTCTGACCCTGTCAGTGAGGCCTCTACGCCAGTGGCCCAGAATCGGCCAGTATGCAACCATCCGGCGATCGGACGTCCGCCGACTTGTTCAAGAACCACGGTGGAGCGATCTGCGCGGTGTCAGAAGCCAGCGCCGAGGTCTTGACGAGACGAACCTGCCGCAGGAAGCACCGTATTGGTGATGGTATGACCCTTGGTGCCCGCACACTGTCAGGAGCATTGCACGTTCGCGGCGCTGGTGTTGTGGGAGGACGACGACGACGCGAACGACGAAGAAGGAGGAAGGACGGCGACGCTGACGACGACAACGACGAGGGAGGAGGGAAGACGACGACGACAACGACGACGACGACGACGGCGACGAAATAGGAGGGACGACGACGAGACGCCGACGACGGACGACGACGACGAGGGAGGAGGAGGAAGGAGCTAGAAGTGTCCGCTCAAATGGCGGAGACCAGCTCGGGCCGCCTCTGGTTCACCACCGAAGAAGAGTTTGTGGGTTGGGGCGCAGGCGCCACCTTATCAGAAAGGAGTCGTCATGATGTGTTCGAGCACACCCACCTCCAGATCGCACTCTCGATCCAGGTCCTGCTCTTTGTAGTGACAGTGGTGGGACAGAAGCGTTGAGGCGAGCAATCGTATGCCCCTTTGCTGACTCTTATTGTTCGGTGCGCCCGCTTTTTAATTTGCCAGACTTCTGACAGAGTCATCAAACCCAGACGGTTTTTAGGTTGCAGTTCCTGGGGGGGGTTTCGTGAAGCATCGGTCGTTGTGTTTTGTTGGTGTCGATCTGATATGGTATGCCACAACCCAGCGCTGCCTGTCTACCTCAATCTGCCGCACTCTGCGTGGTCCTTGGCCGACTCCAGGATCCAGCCCAATCCAGCCGAGTCGGCACTTACTCCGGCGTAGTAGTTCCCCCTCCCTCTTGCTCACGAAGATGCGGCAGGATCCACCCCGCCAGACCAACCAGACGGAATGAGGGGATACGGACAGGTTCACGACATCTGCTGCACGCAGCTGATTTCGGCCCCGCCGCCAGGCGCTCTCTTCTCTCCTCTTCCGTTGCCTCTCCCTTTCTCGTCTTCTGTTGCAGAGAAGCGTTCCTGCATCTCTTCTTCTTCCTCCTTTTTTGTTGGGCGGACTTAGGCAGCGAACCTGAAGCGTTTGCCTTCTTCCTCCTCCTCGTCCCCCTCCCCCTCCTCCTCCTCCTCCTCTTCTTCTGGTGCCTTTCTCAGCACGCTCGCTGTTTCACCCAACCATATCCGTTATACTCTATCGCACCCGCGCCTCTGACGTTGCTTGCTCGCTTGTTTGCGCCGGGTGCCATCCTCGACACATTATGGCGCCTCTGGCGCCGGGAGGCGCTGGGAGACGCTGGTTCGCTGGCCCCCCCCCAACACTACCCTCAAGTCGGGCCTGTCCCTCTACAGGAGTAACATTCAATCAATAGTCTGGGGACGATTTCCCACATATGTTTGACCTTTTTTTGGCATTTCTCTAGGAATTCAATATTTTTCGCCCCAACTCCGCCTGTAGGAGAACACGCCCGACCTAACGCTAGCCCCGACCCGAAAACGACCGAGATGCCCTCGTGTGCGGCCAGGGGCCGGTGTCCTCCCCCCCCCGATGCTCAGCGCGGGCCACGGGCCGTGGGGAGCACGGAGCGTGGGGGCGTGGGAGCACGGGCTGCTCCCCTCCTGCTGCTCCTCCTCCTCCTCCTCCTCCTACTCCCTCTCCTCCTCCTACTCCCTCTCCTCCTCCTCCTCCTCCTCCTCCTCCTCTTCCTCCTCCTCCTCTCCTCCTCCTCCTCCTCCTCCTCCTCTCCCTCCTTCTCCTTCTCCTCCTCCTCCTCCTCCTCCTCTTCCTCCTCCTCCTCCTCCTCCTCCTCCTCCTCCTCTCGTCCTCCTCCTCCTCCTCCTCCTCCTCCCGCGGGCCACGGCCCGAGGGGCCAGGCTCATTTGTGGCCCTCCGCGGCGGAGCTGCGCGAGGGGAGGGCAGATCGGGGGCGTCAAGGAGGGGGGGCGGCGAGGATCAGGAGAGGAAAAAACACGCAGACACAATTAATCGTCGATTCCCAGGAAAATATAGGAAAATATGGGAAGTGGGGGGGAAGACAAAAACCCAGAAAATATAGGAAAATATGGGGAATATTTTTATTCGTGTGTATTTATTTGTGTGTCCTGGGGCCCCTTCAGAGGACTGGGGACCGAGGTTTCGTGCGAGCACTTGCGTCCGACGGCGCGTCGGCAAGGCAAGCACAGAGCAGCGACGCCGCCTTGCGGCGCAGGCACCTCCTTCATAATCGGATGTGGCGTTGCCGCTCGAGCGCCAGCCACGCTTTTGATCGGGAGCGGTTCTTTCACCCGAACGGTGGGCGCGCGCCAGGCGAGTCGTGGCGGGGTGGCGTCAGGTTAACTGCCCGGCGTCAGGTTGCGTTCAAAAGCGCCCGGTCCATTGCCGGCGGGGGCGGCGTCAGGTTAGGGGCCCTGGCGTCAGGTTAGGGGGGGGGCTTGTAGGGGGGACGTGGGCCCGGGGCCATGAGGTTTCCCAGATTCCGCCCCCTCTTCCTCCTTCGACACGCCCCCGGGCTCTCCCCCCCTCGTCCGTGCACATGTCTCGGGCCATGCTGCGCAAGGCCCCCCTCTTCCTGGCCCTTCATCTCGGCGCACCCAGGCAGAGAGTTGGGGAGGCAGCAACATCAGCAGCTCGAAGAGGAAACGCAAGCCAATACGCCAATACTGCGACCCTTCTCCCTGTTTCACCCCTTTGGGCCCTCTTGAGGGTCGTCGTCGCCGTGGTGGGGTTCGCATAGACAAGTCTGAGGTTTGGAGGGTAGTGGTATCGGTATGTCTTCGGTCCGCCAACAGGCTGGTGCATCAACGACCACTCGAGTGAGACGCCAAGGGCAGAGGTATATTCCATGGCTTCGCCCAAATCGCGCTGGCCTGGTCGGCTGGTTGACTTGTTAGCTGGCTGTCTGGTCGATAAGCTTGCCAGTTGGCTTGCTAGTGAGGCCAGATTGTTGGTTGGCTGGCTGGCTGGTTGATTATGGTTGTTTGGTTGGTTGTTTGCTGGTTTCCTAGTTGTCTATTAGTCTGGCTGGCCGTTTGGTTGGTCGGCTGGTTGCCTTGCTCGCTGACTACTTTAACCGTTGTTTGCTGGTTGGCGTGTTGTCTTGTTTGTTGGCTGTTTGGTCGATCGGCTTGCTGGCTGGATGGCTACTGGGCTGGTCTTCCAGTTGATTGATTGGTTCGTTGGCCGTATTGACTGGTTGGCTGCTTGGCTAGTTGATTGGTTGGATGGATGGTTGGTTGGCTGCCTGGTGGGTCGATTAGCTGGCTGGTCGTCTGGTTGGTTGGCTAGCTGACTGTTTGGCTGGCCGGTTTGCTGGTCGGCTGATTGTCTGGTGGAGTGTAGGAGAAGGGGGAGGACGAGGAGGAGGAGGAGGAGGAGGAGGAGGAGGAGGAGGAGCAGGAGGAGGACGAGGCGTTTTCCGTCCCCGTGCTGGACAGGTGACGGAAATAATGAGGTATGAGTGATGACGTTTTGGTGGGGCGAAGCCTCTAGGGAGGGGTTCTATGTGAGGGGCGTAGTGCGACCGCGCCGGCGCAACACGCAATCGCCCCCTTCGGATTGGCCAAGAGGCCCCTCGAAGCGGCCCAGACCCAGGAGCGCTCCAAGAGAACCCAGAACCGCCCAGGAGCGTTCGAAGATGGCCTGACACGGCCCCAAGACGGTCCCAGAGACCCCCTTCCCCGTAGCCATTCCGGTCCAAGCCTGCGCTCAGCGCCGCAGCTCCTCCCCGCGCGAGGCGCACCCGCGGCGCCCAGCAGCCGCCCAGTGGACCGCCCCGTGCCGGCATGGCTCCGGGCACCCGCCCCTCCACCGGCGCCCCCAGGCGGGGGCACGGCGGCGGCCCCGCAGGGCCGCGGGAGGTCCCCGGGGAGCGGCGCCCGCCAGCGCTGGTGCCCAACCCCCTGCACGCCAAGACGCGGCTGTGCAGCTTCTTCGCGGCCGGCGCCTGCCTGAGGGGCGCGGGCTGCAGGTTCGCCCACGGCAGCACCGAGCTCAAGGCTTGGCATCGCTCGGACGTGCGCATTTTTCCCTTCGGCGAGGACCATCGAGGAGCATCCTTGATCATTTGGCGAAAAACACGACGCACGAAACCGAAAAAAACTCAGGGAATGGACGTCCGAGCGATGGCCAGCAAGGCGCTCCCAGACTTCACGAGGACGCAGCTCTGCCCCGCCGTGCGTGCCCACGGCGCCTGCCGGGCCCCCGCCTGCGCCTTCGCCCACTCCCGGGCCGAGCTCCGCCCGCGCCTGGACGACCGGGCGCCGCCCGCGGCCTGCGGCCTCGGCGGGCGCGCCCCGAGCCCCCGGCGAGTGGACGGGCGCGTGGCGCGCTGGCGCGCGGAGGCCCCGTCCGCGGGGCCCGCCGGGGCGCCGAGGATGCGCGGCCGGGCCGGCGGCGGCCTGGCGAGCCTGGGCGCCGGGGCGCTGCGCCTCGGGGGCGGCAAGTGCAGCCGCGGCGGGTCCCCGAGCAGCACCCGGGCGAGCGGGCCGAGCTCGGAGGGGTCGCTGCGCTCTCGCCAGGTCTCGGCCGCGTCCGACGGCCAGCTGCCGGAGTGCACGGGGCCGGGCGTGGAGAGCCAGGGGGGGGGCAGCGGCCGCGTGTTGTGGAGGCTCGAGGTGAAGAACACGTTCCTCACGGTGGTCCACCACATTCCCGCGGAGGCGGGCCCGAGCCGTAGCTTGTCCTGTCCGGCGGCGCTGCGCCATCGCTGAGGGCCTCTCGCACGCTCTGGGCCAGGCGCCAGAAGCAGGAGAGCCCCTCCGCCTCTGACGCCTCCCCTGGCGCGCTCCGCGCGCCGCGGAGGGGGGGTCCAGCGTCGATCCAAGAACTCTGCGCGGACGTCCGACAATTCAGGTTTATGGTGGTGATCCTTCTCCCACCATCATAACTATACAAGCCTTGGAGTCGTGCGACGCCATGCAACGCGCTCTGAGCCTTACATGTTTCTTGTGCAGGCCTTGGAGCCGTGAGACGCCATGCCTCGCACATGGATCCTTACATGGTTCCTAGTTCGTTTCTCCAGATTGCCTGTTTCAAAGTTCATGGTTCTCTGTTGAACGTCTTATGGCACGTTCTGGCGCCGTGCGACTCAATGCTACGCGCGCTGAGCTGCCATGGCGACTTATGAGTTCGGATGACGGGAAACGCCGTCTCGGAACGTGAAGGTGATGGGAGTTTGTTAGGGGACGTGTACGAGGAGGAGGAGGAGGAGGAGGAGGAGGAGGAGGAGGAGGAGGAGGAGGAGAAGATGGAGGAGGACCCGTGCGCGCGTGCGCACGCAAGCAGAGAGAAGCGGCGCTTCCCGTTTTTTCCTTTACACGTTGCTTGTTCTAATGTTCAGTGTTGTCTGCCTCAAGTATCATGACAGGCTGTGGCGCCGTGCGACTCAATTCTACGCGCGCTGGGCTGCCATGGTGACAAGTGAGTTTTGGCTCAGCAAGGGAACGAGCTATCGAAGAGAAGTGACATTTAACCCTGCTCTTTCGGACGCCTGTCCGCGTTCCCTGCTTCACGATGGCCGATGTAGTTTCCTGGCCATAGAACGTCGCCCCATTATCCCGTCTCTGATGAGTGCTGATCCGAGCCCTTTCCATCCCGTCCCTGATTAATCATGATCTGGGGATTTGGGGATTCAAACTGCCAGTCTGGCGAGACCGCTGTAATGATGTTTTTATCAAACGTAGACTTGACGTACGCCCGATGGCAGAGTGCCCCGACGCATTCTGAACTACCAGACCGAGGCACAGTTTTCATCCCTCACTTGCGAGCCTGACGGCAGGTGTTGCAGCCGTGCGACGCTATGACACGCGCTCTGAGTTTTTCAAGTTGCCAGGGTCGATTCGAAATCATGGTTGCATGTTTCAAATGTCATTGCAGACTGTGGAGCCGTGCGGCTCAGTGTCACGCGCTCTGGGCTTCCATGTGCGCCAAGCAGCAAACAAAAAAGACTGGCCAAGGGGCTCTCCAGAGGACCCCTGAGAGGGTTTCAGGATGCCACAAACAATATGTGTTGCTCAGATGTTTGAAGATTTTTTAGTGCTCTCGCCTTCTCAGTCTTCCGACGGCCCAAGACGGCCCAACAGGCTCGACAGATCGTCCCACGACGGCCCATGAGGCTCCCAAGAGGGCCCCGAGACGGCTCAAGAGAGCTCCAAGACGGCCTATCAGGGGCCGAAAAGAGCCCAAGAGGCTCCCAAGAGAGAGCCCCACGAAGGCCATGGGAGGCCCCGAAGAGGGCCGACGAGGGCTCCGAGAGGGCCCCAAGACGACCCCAGCCTCCAGACACAGCCCAAGAGGCCCCCGGGACGGCCCAAGAGCCTCCCAAGAGGACCCCTCCAGATGGCCTGAGGATGCAAACGCATTCATTCTCCTGAGGTTTTTCATTGTTTTGTTGGTTCTCTCCTTTTCGGGCCCAGATCTGCCGAAGACGGCTCTGAGGGCCTCCGAGATTGCCCCAAGACGGTCCAGGAGGCCCCCATGAGGGCCCCAAGATGGCCCAAGAGAATCCTAATGTGGCCACAGAGAGCCCCAAGGTTGCATCATATTCTTGGGTTGCAGTGTGGTCTCAGTGTCGCTGTGGATGTTTTTTCGCTCACGCCCACGTTGATATCATGTTGCGCAGATGTTGTCTTGTCGGCTGCGTAATCCCAGGACGCGTGGCGCTTCCCTACTGGTCGTCGTTGCATTTTTTGGAGCCGCCCCGATGTTTGCTTCTTCTTGTTTGTTTGAAAGTATGCATAATATCACTTGTCTGTGTGTATGTGTGCGCATTTGAATGTATATGTTGGGAAGGTGTTGCAGTGTACTTCCTTTGGCGTTCATCGGTCTCAGGCCGTTGTTGACCATTCCATCAACTCCATTTGCACTGCACCATTGCCGAGCTTCGCGGCGGCCCCCTTTGCACAGTGCCTCGTCTGCTTCTTCGGTTATCGCTTAAGCAGCATGCATTCAAGTTCACCAGGCAACATTCAATCGCTTTCATGCCTGGGGATACCTTCACCGACAGTGGCCTTAGTGAAGAAGCGTGGGTTAGTAGAGGGGCTTCCCATTGCAGCATTAAGCATTGGTGTGATGATCTCTGCCTCTTTTGCAATGGAGGCTACATGATATGCAGCATGTGCACCAGAGTTGCTTGCCATGAGCAGGCCTGTCTTTTGCACTTTGATCCGCTCATGTTTCGATTTATTTGGTTCAATGCGTGCAGCTTGCGGAGGCGCTGCTGCCCAATTTCTCCTTGGCAACACCGTCGCTTTTGTGGCGGGTCGTCAGGCATTCCAGTTGTGTCCCTCTCTGAGACGGACACACGCGCGCATACCCTTGAATGCTGGAGCTGTTGCTGCTGCTGCTGACGATGATGATGGTGATGATGATGATGATGCTGGTGATGCTGATGCTGATGATGATGCTGAAGCTGGGTTTGAGGATGCTGATGATGATGATGACGATGCTGCTGCTGCTGATGATGATGCTGACGATAAATACGAGGATGATGCTGATGCTGCTGCTGCTGCTGATGATGATGCTGCTGTTGGTGCTTATGAGGCGGATGCCGATGATGACGATGGCGATGGCAATGATGACACTTCTGACGTTCATTGTGATGCTGAGTATCCTGATGACGCTGTTGATTATGATGCTGATGATGCTGATGCTGATGCTGCTGCTGATGATGATGATGCTGCTGATGTTGATGATGATGCTGATGCTGATGATGCTGATGCTGCTGATGATGATGGTGATGATGATGATGATGATGGCGACGTTACCGATGATAACACTGGTGATGATGTGTCCCAGAGCATGTGCGTATAAATCATCCAGACATCCAGCCTCTTGTCGACAAGCGTGACGGCGAGCAAGGTGGGACGAACGCTGCGCACACTATTAGGACCAGTGTCAGTATTACCAGCTGTATCAGAAGCGGTAGCAACATCAGTAGCGGTAGCAGCTGCATTCGTGGTGGTAGGGTTGTGTTCAGTAGTTTTATAAGCTGTGATGCTAACGGTTGTTGTTGTGGCAGTTCGGTAGCAGTCGTCGTAGTAGCATCGGCAGTAGTGGTATCGAAGATGCCTACGGCGAACCACCGCCGCCTCCTGCCTTTCGGAGGCGCCTGCGATGTTTTATTGTCTTGGACCATCTTGAAGACCTTCTGAAGTCACATCGGCCATCTTGGAGGCGAGTTCTTTGATCCAAGAGGCTTACGCCATTCTTCCGACCACCCGAAGAGGATGTGTGCGGCTCCTGATCTCGTTTGTGCTTCTAGCCTTTTCCCGTCGTGCTGCCTGCGTGCACGTGTAGTTGTGGCTGATTCGTCCTCCTCTTTCTCCGCGTCTGTTGTGGCCTGCTGGAGCTTTTCAGGGCTGCCAGTTACCTCGTTCGAGCCTTCTTGGAGAGCACGTTGGGGGTCCTGCGACTCGCCCTGGTGGTCTGCTGGAGTCTTGGTTTTAGGCCCTGGAGTCGTCTTGGGGCGCCTTGGGGTCGTCTGGGTGGGCCCGTCCTGTACGACCCATCCCCAGATCCCCGACGTCGTGTTTTTGTTCTCCATGTCGGGGCCCTCGAGCACTCGGCCCCCTTCCCTTGGGCCGCGTTTTCGTCCAGGAGTTGTTCCCAACCATCCTGTGTTGGGTCCTCGTTTTGACGAGACAGCGCCCCGCGTCACCTCACTCACTCGCTCCGGCTGTTCCCCTCCCGATGCCCCTCCCGCCTCCTCCTCCTCTTCCTCCTCCTCCTCCTCCTCCTCCTCCTCCTCCTCAGCATCATCATGACACAGTTCGTGGCCCCATAGGGAGCTCCACCCAAGGTCCCAGTAGCAGGGTCCACATGCTCCTCCCCGCCCACCCCAGGTCCATTTCGGCACACCCTTCACACGGTTCGTGGCCCCATCGGGAGCTCCACCGAGCGCACCGGCAGCAGGGTTCGCATGCGGTTCCTCGCCCACCGAATGTGCGGCTCACCGTCGTCGTCCGTTGTGTTCGTCGTGTTCGTCGTCGTCGTCGTCGTCGTCGTCGTCGTCGTCGTCGTCGTCGTCGTCGTCGTGGTGTTCGTGGTCGTCGTCGTCGTCGTCGTTGTCGTCGTCGTCGTGGTCCCCGCCGTCCTGGTCCGTTGAACATTCTGGACGGCCATCTGCTCTCCATCGGGGCTCCTCGGGGCGCCCTCGTGGCCACGGCTCCGCCCCGAGATGCCGCCCCGAGGGCGTCCGGGGACAGGTCCGCGCAGGCCGGCTCCTGCGAGCCTGTGGCGGAGCGGGGAGCCCGGGCCTGGCAGCGTCCCGGCTCGGAGCAGGGGAGAGGAGGAGGAGGAGGAGGAGGAGAGGAGAGGAGGAGGAGGAGGGAGGAGGAGGAGGAGGAGGAAGGAGGAGAGGAGGAGGAGGAGGAGAGGAGGAGGAGGAGAGGAGAGGAGGGGGAGGGGAGAGCGGCGCGGGTGAGGATCCGGAGGGAATAAAAACACAGAGACACAGTTGACCTTCGACTCCCCAGAAAGCATGGTAGCATATGCGAAGTGTGGGGGGGGGGGAGACAAACGCCCAGAGCACATGGGAGAACCTGGGGAATTTCTCGATCTGTGCGTCCCAGGCCCCCCTCCAGAGGTGGCGGCTCGCCCGGGCTCGTGGGTGTCTTCGGGGGCTCCACGGGAGCTTCGGGGCGGCTTCCGGAGCGAGAGGGGGGGGAGAAGGATGGAAGGTGGAGGGAGGAGGAGGGGGAGAAGAAGGAGGGGGAGAAGAAGGATGGAAGAGGGGGGGAGAAGAAGGATGGAAGGTGGAGGGAGGAGGAGGGGGAGCCTCCTCCTCAGAGGTTCGGGGGGATGTCAGGCGTTCCGAGGGCGTGAGAAGGGGTTTGGGCATCCCTGGTGCTTCTAGGGATGGAGGGACGGGGAGGGAGGAAGCAGGGGAGGGGGAGGAGGGGAACTGGAGAGGGAAGGAGGGGGAGCAGGAGTGGAAGGAAGGGGGCGGGGGAGGAAGGAGGAGGAGGAGCAGAAGAAGGAGGAGGAACAGGAGGGGTCGAAGGAAGGAGGAGAGAGGAGGGGGAAGGGAAGCAGGAGGAGCAATACTGGAATCAGGAGGCGGAGCAGGATGGGCCACGGGAAGTGGGAGGAGGGGGAAGAGGAGGGGGAGCGGGAGGAGGAGGAGAACCACGGGGGAGGAAGGGGGAGCGGGAGCGCAGATCGCGGCGGGCACCCCTTTCACCGTGCTGCTGACACGCCTCGGCGGTGTCGCGGTAGGTTGCCCATGTCCACTCAACCAGGAGTAAGTACGCCACGACCATGCGGGGCGACATCCTGAGCGTCGTGCCGCAAACGGGCGATGGTGCGGTATACACTCAGGTCGCTGCCGGCGGTGATTGCATGGCCTCTTTGCGGAGCGACGGCATGATGGCGGTCTACATCTCCATGTCCCAGATGGGATTCCCATTGCCTTTCCGCACGTCCATCTGCTGGGCAACAGAGATGACTCTTAAACCAGGGGTCACATTTTCGCAAGTCGACGTTGCATATCACGCAGTGCTACTGAGGGGCGACGGCTTTTACCTGGCCGTGGGTAGCGAGCAGCAGGTGCACGATTGCGGCCAGTGCGGCATCCCGGCGCTCGACGAAGGACTCGCACACGTGCAGGTGTCGGCTGGGTATGCGCACGCCGTCCTGCTGCTGAATGATGGTCGTGCAGTGGCTTGCGGAGACAGTTCCCACGGTCAATGTGATATCCCGCGGCTGCGGTCGGGCCAGTCTTACACGACCGTGGTTGCTTGTGAAGACCAGACAGTCCTCAGCCGCAATGCCGGGTATGTCGTGATCTGCGATCGCGCAGATCAGTACGTTCCACCAGTCGAAGCAGATCTGACGTATACGGCCAAGGTAATGCTCGTGCTGGCGCTGCAGCTGTCGCTGGGAGAAGGCTCCATGCGCTTCTTGGCACTGAGCGGGGAGGAGTGCTTGAAGATCGACGTTTCTCTGGACACGCCGCTCGTCACCATTTTGAAGCACTCCATGGTCGCGTGGCACGCCGGCGAGTTCGGCGTCAGAGCAGGGCGCGTCGAGGCCAATCCTGCCAGGAGGGAAACTATTACACGGCGCCGGTGCAGAGGAGATGGTGGAGAGCGTCTCCTGTGGGTGAGGCCGCGGGAGGAGAGGGCTGGCGCGGTAGTAGAAGCTTCGGGCTGCTCTCACGGGCTGCCTTTGGGACAGCCTGCGCGCGTCGCCAGGGTTCCTTCGGGCCGACCAGCGCGCGTCGCGGGGACTCCGTGCTGCGCTCCGCACTCGCGTCGCTCGCCAGTCGTCGCTCTGCCCAGCGGCCAGCGCTTGGCCCGCTTGCTCCGCGCTGCGGGCTATCCACGCGAATCGCCTGGACCCTTGCGGGGCAACCGGCGCGCGTCGCGGGGACTCCGCTCTCCTCTCCCTCCTCCTGTCCTCCCCGCGCGTCGCCCTGCAGTCTGCGGCGTAGCGTTGACGGAGCAGGTGCTTACCTACAAGTGAAATACGACCAGCCAGAGCCATTACGTTGCCCAGATCGACGTTGTGATAAGTCATGCAACGTGCAGTGTCATGATGTTGGCTTCCTGGCATGTGATCGCGCAACCTCTAACAGTGGAATTGTGGCCTCGAGTGACGTATAGGGGAAAGGGAGGAGGATGATGAGGAGGAGGAGGAGGAGGAGGAGGAGGAGGAGGAGGAGGCGGAGGGGGAGGAGGGCGACGAGGGGGACGAGGAGTGAGAGACAGAGTGGTAGGAGGACAAGGGGCGATAGTTCAGGACTGAGAGGTGAATAGTGGTGGCGGTGAAGAGGAGGGGGAGGTGGATGAGGAGGCCGAGGACGGAAAAAGTCGAGGAGAGGAATCAGTGTGAGGATACGTGCGTTCCTTCCGAATTTCCTCCTCCCGCTGCGGGTCGCCCACTGCGTCCGCGGTTCGTGGTCCCAAAGGTAGGCCCGTCGAAAGATGGACCCACAACGAGGTACCCACAATTGCTTATGGTTGGGTCCTTCGTCAGGATAGTTTTGGCTGGGGAGCGGCTCTCAGATAGTTTTGATGTTTAAAAACAGACTGATGCAAGCTCACCTGCATGGCATCCTTTTCCCTCTTCCACTGCCTTTTTCAGACAACGCTGGGCCGAACAGGCGTGCAAGGCAATCCCGATTTGTGCGGCGTCCAGATTTCCGTTCGGGCCTCGCCACGCCCCCCAGCCCCCCCCCTCTCCATGCAAGGAGACTGCCGGGAATGAAGACTGAAAGAGAAGCCGCGTGAAATTCACCTTGTTTTTTTTGCTCGCCGTTTCGGGGTCTGGCATTGCCAGGGGTCCACGCGAGCATCCGCTGCAGCACGGCTGCAGGGCTGGTGCAGAGAAGTTTGGCGTCTGACTCCTGGGTCCGGTGGCTGCACTGGGCCCGGCTCGGGCCGCTCCTCGGGCCCCTCCTTCGGGCCGCGCGAGCCCTGCGCCTCCGGATCTCGCGCCTCCGTTGTGCACCGTCCTCGGCCGCCGCGAGCCCGTCTGGGACGGCCAGCCGAGCTGCGAGAGACGGGGGTCAGTGCAGCTGTGAAGTCGGGCGTGTCCTTCTACAGGAGGGCTGTTCAGAAATAGTCGAAGCATCGTCAGGGGACTTTTTTGGTAATCGATTTATTTCTTGTCATCATATACAGAGATCAATACATACAATCATATTTGAATATTTTTGATTTTCGTCCAACATCCGCCTGTAGGGGGACATGCCCGACCTAGTGCAAACGGGGGTCATCCAGAGCGCCGGAATTTGCGGAGGATCCTGCAACGCCAGGGTTGCGTTGACCCGGGCTAGCGCGCAGGATTTTGCAGGATCTTGCAAAGCCCGATTGGCCCGGGTTTGTATTGACCCGGGTCAGTGCGTCCCCGAGCCAGGGGGGCATGTTCGAGGCCAATCGCAGACCTCGTTTTTTTCCATTGGGCGGGAGGCGGTGGGTGAACGAAAACAAATGTTGAATCCGTTGGCATTCCTTCGACATCCTGCGATGTCGATCATGCTCCTCTTGCTGCTCCCTCCTCCTCCCCCTCCTACTCGTCCTCGACCTCCTCATCCCCCTCGTTGAGGAATAGGCGGGTGAGGCCATCTGCCAGCCGCCACTCACCATAAGCGAAGGGCTCCAGAGTCTGTTGGCCTCTTTCGGCCTCCTCATGACTTTCCCAGAGGGGGGTCGTCAGAACGAGGGGGCGGGGAGGAGGAAAAGGATGGCAAGTATGTGAGGAGGAGGAGGAGGAGGAGGAAGAGAAGGAGGAGGTGTAGGAGGGGGGAAGATTGTCTCGTCAGGGAATTGCAGCCGAGTATTGCCGCGTGTGGCGTGGCGGAGGTCCAGTTACATGTTCTTTGCAGCTGCAGAGCAGGCCACGCAACCAGGCCATAACACGTTTACTGAGAAGAGACTGCAGCAGGTGCAGGCAGGACATGCGGGAACGGAAGCCAGAGGCCGTTTTCAACACCAACATTTCACCGGGTGGTGTCGAACCTGCTCGAGGCGAACTCGTGGCACGCCAAGCGCGTGGCGGAGCCGGAACCTACTGGGAGGCGCCCGTGCGCGAATTGCCTTTGTTTGGTTCGAGTTTTTCTCGCAGCAGAGAGCCCGCTGGGATTTTGACTGCTACCACCGCACGTGACCGCCTCCGTGCGGTGATTACTCCGAGTTTCTTAATAAGCGTCGGGGGAGCGTCACCCCCGCCGACAGCCCCACGTCGACCCCCGTCGCGGGCAGCCACCGCGCGCCGAAGGCGCTCCGACCCCGCCGCGTCGCGACGACGAGGCGAGGCTGACCCCCGTCGGGGGGGTACCCCCCCACGCTTACTAAGAAACCGAGAGTAGTCCATATCCACCGCCTCGGAGTCATGTCCTGGGATCTCGAGGGTTGGTGGATGTTGATGTCTGCCCGTCAGCGTGGGCTGGCAGGTCTCTCTCTCTCTCTCTCTCTATATATATATATATATCCATACTCCTCGATTCCCGGGGACGCGACCCCGCGGCAGTGGATATGGATATTTCTTGGCGGTGCACTTGCGTGCTCTTCTAGGTCACCCGTGGGGGCGCGAAGATGGTCGCGCTTCGCTCGTCGCGGCCTGGGCCGCAAGGCTGCCCCTCTCCAAGGCGACGGCGCGAGGGCGCGAAGACGGTCGACGACCCCGCGCCACGCATCGCTGGGCGCGATGCGCAAACACAGGTGCTCCACAGTCGAGACGCCGAAGCAGCGACCACTTTGGGCTCATGAGGGGCTCAGGTTTCCGGGCCGTTCCGCAGGCCTTGGTCGGGGAGCCCCTTCTTGGCCGAGGCCGGCTGTGGCCACGAGAGCCTCTTCGAACCCTGTTCGGCGTTCCTCATGGGAGCACGATGACTGTATGGTTGTTACCACCGCGCGTGCGACCGCCTCCGTGGGGTGATCCGATAGGTGCTCTCCTGCGTCACCCGCGGGGGGACGCGAGGATAATCGCGCTCCGCGCGTCGCTGTCTGGGCCGCCCAGGTGCCCTTCTTCAGGGTGGTGCCGCAACGACGCGAAGAGATCTGGGGACCGCGCGTCGCGCAACTGGGGCGCGATGCGCCAAGTTGGAGGACCTACAGTCAAGGCGCTGAGACAAGGACCCCCTTGGACTCAGGAGTGGCTTTTGTATTCGGGCCACTCCATCGATCCAGGTCGGGGGGCCCAATCGTGGCCCAGCCTCGTCGTTGCCAGAAACAGCCCCTTCGTTCCCTGTTCAACCTTCCTCATTGCATCACGATGATAGTACAGTCAACCCGCATAGTAAGGATGAGTCCCTTTCAGCCCATCCTTGGCCGCTTTCGCTGGCCGCGCCCCGCTGGCAAAGTGTCGACATGGCCTTCGGAGGCCTTTGCGTCCTTCTCGTGCGTCCTTGTCATGCGGGTTGACTGTAGCTTGCCCTCCCTCTCGCTCCCTCTCTCCCTCACCCCCGTACTTATTCGGTGCCGATTCGTGGATTTGTTTTGCCGCAGGAGCCCCCCCACTTTGGGGCGTCGCCCCGCCATGCCATGTCATGCCATGCCATGCTGCGACGTCCGATTGTGCGAACAGAGAAAAGATATACGCCATGCTAAGGGATGGGAGGGAGGGGTAGGGTGTCAGATAAGACGCGGGCACACCTAGCTTGCTCTCCTCTCCCCGCCGCCTCCTCCGCCTCCTCCTCCTCCGCCTCCGCCTCCGCCTCCTCCACCTCCGCCTCCTCCACCTCCTCTGCCTCCTCTTCTTCCTCCTCCTCCTCCTCTTCCTCAGCCTCCTCCTCCTCCTCCTCCTCCTCCTCCTCCTCCTTCGCCTCCTCCTCCTTCTCCTCCTCCTCCTCCTCCTCCTCAACCTCCCCCTCCTCCCCCCCCCTCACGTGGGAGGGGTGGCCCAGACGGCTTCCAGAGCACCCCTCACGAGGCCCAGAGAGCCCCAGGGGCTCCAAAGCTGAGCGAAAAGCTGGGGGCACCTTGGGCCAGGGGCACTTCTAGCATCACCCGACGCCCGTGGCCGGGCCGCAGGCCTTTCGAGGAGCTGGAGCGTGCAGGGGGCCGGGGGCGTCCAGGAGGGGGGGCGAGGACGAGGGGCGTCGGCGTGGGGGGGGGGGGGGGGCGTCGAAGGGGGGGGAGCCGAGGGGGGGGCGGCTCAAGTTGTTGCTGGTTCCCTGCTTTCTCGCCTCGGGGTTGCTTTCCAGCAGCTGCGCCTCGTCGAGGGCCTTCCTGGGGTGCCCAAGAGGGGGTCGGGGGCAACCAAGAGGGGGCTCAAGACATGGGGCTTCGGCGGGAGGGGCGTCGACGAGGGGGAGTCGACAAGCTAGGACCCTGCTCCCGTCTTGGCCCCCTCTTCTTCCTTCACGCTCATGCACCCCCCAGTCGGCCCACGTGTCTCGGGCCATGTATGGGATTGTTGATTTACCCCCAAACTAGTTTTCTCGTCGAATCTACGAATCAATACTTAGATGTGGCAGTCGATTTGCGAGCATTCGACGTATTCGTAGACGATCCCCTACTCTTAAGTCGGGCCTGTCCCTCTACAGCAGGAGTATCCAAAAATAGTCAAAAAAATAGCGAGGGAACGATTGATGGATCATTCTTGGGCATTATGGGGGCATTTTTTGCGTACTCCAGATTTCGTAATAAAAGGGAGGGGGTCTGGACCCTCCAAGACAAGCCATTTCAGACCTCCCCCGTGGGAGAACCCTCCAAAACATCGTCCCCAGACCCCCCCAGGCCCTCCAAGATAGCCTGGAAGAGACCCCCCCCCGAAATGAGACCCCCCTCCCTTGATTACGAAATCTGGGGTATGTTTTTTCGTCCAAAATCCGCCTGCAGGGGGACACGCCCGACCTGACCCTGCTCGAGTGATGGGCTTGGCACCCCCCTCGTCGAGGCCCGCCTCTCCGGCGCACCCTGAGCGGGGGGGGGGTCATTCGCCTGCGCCGCCGTCGCTCCGCCGACGGGGCAGCGGGCTTCCCGTCGCGCACGCGCCTCGGCATCGGTGCTGCCGTTCTGCTGAGCGGCCTCCGCATGGTTTCTGCGAAGCGCTCGTGCTGCCGAGGACGGCTGCGGCGCATCACCGCCGCCCCCGCCTTTCTGGAAATGCCGGTGTGTGTCCCCAAGGGGCCAGAGGTCCCAGAGATCCGATGTCGTGATTTTCTCAATGCGGGGTCCCCCGAAGTCCCGACCCATTCCCCAGGACCGGTTTTCCATCCGGAGTCGTTTTTTGACGGTCCCGGGGCCCAGCGAGGTCCTCCAGAGGCCGAAATTTGAGAAAACCCTCCGTCTTGATTTTTTAGGAGGCCACATGCGAACCCTACCCCTACCCCCTACGATTTCTGAGGGAGCGAAGCGAACCCCACCCTCCCCCTCAGAAATCGTGGGGGGTAAGGGTAGGGTTCGCATGTGGCCCCGTATTTTTTCTCTAGGCGTTGGATCTCTGAGCTTGGACAAGCTATAGGATCGCGTGCTCCTTCCCCCGTCCCGGCGCCGGTGCGCATCGCCCGTGCCTCGCCCCGCCGGCGGGAGAGGTGCTCCTCCGGCCGCTGCGGAGCCCCTCTGTGGGGGAACACTTGCGGAAGAACTGATGGGGGAGGGGGAGGGGGAGGGGGAGGAGGAGGAGGAGGGGGAGGAGGGGGAGGCGGGGGAGGCGGGGGAGGAGGGGGAGGAGGAGGAGGAGGAGGAGGAGAGGAGGAGAGAGGAGGAGGAGAGTGAGGAGAAGGAGGGGGAGGCGGAGGAGGAGGGAGGATTGTTAGGAGGATGCGGAAGAGGCCTCTCTGGGCCCTCTGGGGGCTTCGGGGCTTCCTGAGGGCTTCCTGCGGCCTCTGAGGGGGCTTCCTGGAGACTCTGAGGGGCCTCCGGGCGCCTCGAAGAGGCCTCTTGTCATTCGGAGGTTGTCTCGGGGACCTCTCTGGGCCGTCTTGGCGGTCTATCGAGGCCGTCTTTGGGGCGTTTTGGGCTGCCTTGGCGCCCTCTTGGGGGCTGCTGGGTCCGTCTTGTGGCTATCTCGGAGGCCTCTGGAGCCGTCTTAGAAGCTGTCTGAAGCCCGAAAAGGCGAGAACGCTCCATTGAAACACATTCGGGAAAGAGCGCGTTTGGTCGCTTGGAGGGGGGGGAGGGGGTATTAAACCGGACCCCCTCTCCCCCCCACCTTCCCGTGACGGGGGAAGGGGAGGGGTCGAACCCCCCCCCCACCCCTTCCCTCCTCTGCTTCCCCTCTCCTCGGGCCGGCGCTTGTCGGCGGCGGCTGACGACGGCGGCGGGGACGACGATTTCCAGTTCTGGGCCGGCGCCGGCGCCTTCGGCGGCGGGCGGCGGTGGCGGGGAGCGTCGACGAGGACGACGGTGGTGGTGGTGGTGGTGGTGGTGGTGGGTTGTGGTGGAGGTGGTGGTGGCGGTGGTGGTGGTTGTGGTGGTGGTGGTGGTGTGGTGGTTTGTTGTGGTGGTGGTGGTTGTGGTGGTGGGTGGTGGTGGTGGTGGTGGTTTGGTGGTGGTGTGTGGTGGTTTTGTGGTGGTGTGGTGGTGGTTGGTGGTGGTGGTGTGGTGGTGGTTTGTGGTGGTGGTGGTGGGTTGTGGTTGTGGCGGTGGTTTGTGGAGGTGGTGGTGTGGTGGTGGTGGTGGCGGTGGTGGTGGTGGTGTGGTGGTTTGTGGTGGTGGTGGTGGTGGGTTGTGCTGCTGGTAGTGGTGGTGGTTTGGCTGTGGAGGTGGTGGTGGTGTGGTAGATTGTGGTGGTGGTGGTGGGTTGGTGGTTTTTGTGGTGGTGGTGGTGATGGTGAGTTGTGGTGGTTGTGGTGGTGGTGGCTGTGGTGTGGTGGTGGTGGTGTGGTGGTTGGTGGTGGTGGTGGTGGGTTGGTGGTGGCGGTGGCTTGTGGACGTTTGTTGTGGCGGTGGTGGTGGTGGTGGTGTGGTGGTGGTGGTAGTGGTGGTAAGGTGTCGGTGGTGGTGGTGGTTGCGTGGTGCCGGTGGTGGTGGTGGTAGTGGTGGTGGTGGTAGTGGTGGTAAGTGTCGCTGCGTCCCCGCCGTCGCCGGCGCCAGCGCCGGCGCTGCTGGCCGCCGCCAGCGCTGGCGCCGGCGCGAAGGGGGGTGTTGAACCCCCTCCCACCCGCGTGCCAGGGAGGGGGGGGGTTCAACCCCACCCTCCCCCTGGGCTGCCTCGGGTCATCGTCGCTGCGTCCCCGCCGTGGGCGCTGCTGGCGGCCGCCAGCGCCGGCGCCGGCGCCGATGGGGGGGGGAGGGCTCGGGAGGGGGGGGGTTTGGGGGGGAAGCCCCCCTGGTTTTGATAGTCGGCGCCGAGTGTTTGGGGGGGGGGTCCACCCCCTGGTCGAAACGCGCCGCCGAATGTTTCCCAGGCAAACGCCCGTGAAACGCGTTCTCTCACATTCGGACATCGACAAATGTGGCCTTCTGGGGGTCCTCATGGAGCCCTCTTGGGGTGTCTTGGGGGCCTCTTGGGGCGTCTGGTGGGCATCTGGGCCGTCTTGGAGTCATTTTGGGCCGTTTTGGTAGCATTTTGGCCTCCCCTGCAGCCGTCTTGGCGGTCTTGGAGGCGCCTTGGGACCGTGCTGGATGCCGTCTTGGCCATCCTGGACGCATCTCGGAGCCATCTTGCAAACAGAAGCCAGCGGACGCCAGTCTGCACATGTGGCCGCCAGGATGTGCCGAGGCCCCATTGGGAACCTTTTAGAAGGGCCCGAAGGGCTGACCTATTCTTTGGCACGCTTGCCCTCAGCCCGCCAAACTCTCCTCTCAGGCATAAGGGGGCGAGTTTCGGGTCTGACGGCCGCGGGCTGTCATGCGCGGAGAAATAGAAGGTGGCGGCGGATGTAGTGGCCGTCGGCCCATCTCGCCACCGGCCTGGGATTTTGAGTCAGAGACCTTTTTGGGATGCTCACTGGGGCCTTTGAGGCCTCTCGGGGGCCACTTGGAAGCATTATTTTTGCCTCCTGGGACCTCTTGGGAGACTCTTGGGGCCTCTTGGCTGCGTCGCCTCCAGGGGCCCTTTGAGGGCGTCTTGGGGGCCTGCTGGTAGTCTCGGGGGCCATCTGCGGGGGGAAGGCTCGAAATGTCCGTTCGGGTTCCCCTCTTGGGTTCCCTTTTGGGGCCCTCGTGGGGGCCTCGTAGGACCTCTTGGGGGGCCTCGTGGCCGTCTTGGGGCCTTCTTGGGCTGTCTTGGGGGCCTCGTCTTGGGCCCTGTGGCTTTTGGGGAACTCTTACGGGAAGCCTCTAGAGTCCTTCGGGAAGCAAGGCACGCGAGACCCCTCTGGGAAATCCAGCAACTGGGCGTCCGGCCGGGCCCCTTACACGGAGTGTTTACGCTCCACTCCGTGCCTCGCGGCACGGCGACGGAACCTCTCCTGACTCGAACATGTTGCTCTCCGTCTCACATCGGCATGCATCTTGACCAACGTCAGGCCTTTGTGTTGGCTTCAATTTCTTGTGGAGGCCATCGTCGTCGTCGTCGTCGTCATCGTCGTCGTGTTGATCTGGTTCCCCCTTCGCCAGGGCGAGTGGATCTGCGCGGATTGCGGCTACATTTACAACGAGCGTGCTTTCGGGTCATTTCGGTGCATGCACTCTGTTGCTTTGAATGTCCTCTGTGCGGTAGCACCTGGCATCGTCTTATGAGCGCAGAACAGAATTTCCACTGTGTACAAACGTTTCTACCAGACGTGCATCCGTGTGGTGAGTTGGCGTAAGAGATGCCGCCACTGTCGATATATGCGGGCTCCTTCCCATATAGGAAGAGTTCCAATGTTTATGTGGTTTAGGGCCAAGCATTTTTTCGCGACAGGCTAATCCACTCCCTCAGTGAACAGCCTAGTTAATTCAATTCACAAAGGCTGCACGGCGCGCGTAACCCATATCCCATATCTTCGTATAGGTCATTTGCGTTTGTTTGAGCTTCTGCTTGGACGAGTATCATACTGCGCGTAGCATATGTCATCCCAGCACACGCGCAAGGCCGAGTCCTATCCTATCCTATCCTTTCCCCCATCTTCGCCGTGCTCCTTCTCCTGCTCGCCTTTGCCCTTCTATCTCGTCCTCGAGCGTTTTTTCCTCCTTGGTTTCTCCAGGACACTCGTCAGTCCATCCGATCTTCCCCTAAGTCGGGCATGCGCCTCTACAGGAAGAATCTTCAGGAATAGTCAAACATAGTCTGGTGACGATTTTCCGTGCTCTTATTATTATGCAAGGTATGTATCTGTACACATATATGTTTATATATAGTTTTTCAACATACGCCTGCAGGATGACATGCCCAACCTAAAGCTATCCCCCTGGTCTTTTCGCTCGCGTTCTTGTTTCTTTGCTGTGCGACGGGCCACCGTGGCTTCCCTCGTCAAGTCTTTCTCGATCTGCAGCTCGTGTTCCGCGATCTCTGGCGGGCTCGTCGTGATGGGGCCCGGCCTGGGGCTTCGTTCCCGTGCGATCCCCTGCTCGATAAAGTCCTTCACTCGCTGCTGCTTGTCCTTCGTACCCTCGCCTCTGGCCCTCGCCTCGTGCGTCCCTCTCTCCAAGCGCGCGCCCTTCTGTCTTCTTTCAACATGAAAGTTCGTTCATCATGTAACGACCTGCTCCTCGTCCTCCTCCTTCCTGCTCCTCCTCCTCCTCCCTCCTCCTCCTCCTCCTCCTGCTTCTTCCTCATCCTCTGACTTCTTTGAACATGAAAGTTCGGCCCCCTGACCTGACCTGACCTGACCTGACCTGACCACCCGCTGCTCCCCTCCGAGGTCGAAGTTCGAGGACCTGAAGATGGGCTTCAAGTGTCCTGCCTGCGCAGCGCCCCGCCGCCGCTTCGCGCGCAAGCTCGGGGACAAGGCCCCCTTCTCGTCTTCTGTTTGGCCGGTGCCGTGCCGACAAGCGGACTAGCAGCAGCAGCAGCAGAGGAGGAGGAGGAAGGAGGAGGAGGAGGAGGAGGAGGAGGAGGAAGGAGGAGGAAGGAGGAGCAGGTCGTTACTCCAGATTTCGTAATAAAAGGGAGGGGGTCTGGACCCTCCAAGACAAGCCATTTCAGACCTCCACCGTGGGAGAACCCTCCAAAACATCGTCCCCAGACCCCCCCAGGCCCTCCAAGATAGCTTGGAAAAGACCCCCCCCGAAATGAGACCCCCCTCCCGTTATTACGAAATCTGGAGTACATGATGAACGAACTTTCATGTTCAAAGAAGACAGAAGGGCGCGCGCTTGGAGAGAGGGACGCACGAGGCGAGGGCCAGAGGCGAGGGTACGAAGGACAAGCATTAGCCATGTATCTTTATCAAGTATTTGCTCTTCGGCGATGAATGTTCAATAGCCATTCGCTTTTGTAACAACATCTAATCGTGATTAGCTAATGAGAATCCTCGGTGCTTTTTGAGCAACTCTTCTATCTTTTTGGCCAATATTCGTTTTGTTTTAGAAGAAGTCCGTCTTGAACCGGACGCCGCCGTAGGATCTGTAGACCTCGTCGTCGCGGTAGGGCGCACGACAACAATGGCAGCGGGCTTAACCAGGGAGGGGGCAAAGACGTACTTGGTGAGTGATCCGCGCGGGGATCATGGCAAGTTTTTGTGCGCCTTCCGCAGCCAGTTGTGACTGCGCGGTCTGCGCGGAGCCATTGCAGGCGTGTGCCACGGGAGGACCCCCCCCCCGGGACCCCCTGCCCCCGAGGGACCCCCTTTTCAGGAGCGAAAGAAGGACGTATATGTACATGAATCCACGCTGGTTTCGAGAGTACGCATTGCGCAAATGTTCGTATGACGCGGCCGGTCTCGCGGATCGAGGGGCCGTGTTCATGTACTTAGCTGGGCGCGTACGTCCTTTGTGGGCTCCCTACCCCTGGCTGGGAAGGGATCAAAGGAAAGGGGCTTCGACTTCACTACGACGTTGCTGCTCCATTTCGCTTCGGCTGGCGCGCTCGAGGCAGGAGGGCCGAGGCCCAGGGAAGGGGGGGGAGCGAAGACGGCGACGCCGACGCCGACGCCGACGACGACGACGACGACGACGACGACGACGAACGGCAGAGCGTCTTCCACACGCCGACAGGGTCGGCGGATTTTGTACACATGCAATACAAGTTGCTCTTGAAGGGGAGGGGCGCCTCCAAAGTCATCGGTCAGTGTTCAATCGGGCCTGTCCCTCTACAGCGGGAATGTTCAAACATAGTCCCACCATAGCCTGGGGACTAGTTCTGGGCTATTTTAAACCATGTTTGAATCTTGTTTGACTCTTTCTTATTTTTCGTTCAACATCCCTCAGAAGCTGGGCGACGGCTGGTAAACCCGTGGCTGCTAAAACGGAGCTCCGGAAAGTTGTTGTTTTTCTTCCGGGAAGCAGCCCGTTTACTATTTCGTGCGCTGAGCTTGATCCCGGGAATCTGTTCCTTTCTTCCGGGAAGACCGTTTTAGCAGCCACGGCTTTGCCGGCCCTCGCCCAGCTTTCGAATCCCCCTGTGGGGGGACCTGCCCAGCCTGACGGATTCGCCAGCCCTCGCCCAGCTTTCGAATCCCCCTGTGGGGGGGCGTGCCCGGCCTGATGCCACTGGCTCGTGCCGCCCCGTCGCCCGCGCTGCAGGGCGCGCGGGGGGGCGGGGTGGCGCGCCCTGCGGCAGGGCCGCCTGCGCCCATCGGCCGCGCGATCGCGCGGCGCACGCGCGGCGATCGCGCGGCGCACGCGCGGCGCGCGCGCGGCGCACGCGCTGCGCGCGGCGTGGGGCTGCGGAGACGGCTGGGGCGCAGGGGCGCTCCTCGATGCCCTCGTGCCGAGTGCCGCGCCAGCACAGCAGGTTGCCTCCACAGGGGGAGGACGATCCCGGATCTCGGCGCTGGCGGTAATCTATATGTTTCGGTCGCCTTGGAGAGCAGGATATTACCACCACCACCGAGATCGGGATCTTCGTCCTTCGGTGGAGGCACACCGCCGAAATTGGTGTTGGTGTCCCTCGTGTCCTACCGAGCGCGTTCCGCCGCTCGCAGAGCGCCTTCTCGCAAACGTCCGAGGCAAAAACCGTGTCTTCCTCCATCTAGTGGATCGTAGGTTCTCAGCGGCGGATCCAGGCCATTTGCGAGTGGTTATTTAATCGCTTCGCTCATTCCGCCGGCCCATATTGTCGCACAGTTGTGGGCTAGCCGAGTTTTGGGGCCTCTTGGGGGCCGTTTTGGGGCCTCTTGGGGCCTCTTTTGGGCCTCTTGGGCGCCTCTTGGGGCGTCTTGGGGGCCTCTTGGGGGCCTCTTGGGGCCTTTTTGGGGCCTCCTGGGCGCCTTCTGGGGCGGAGGGCTCGATTTTTCAGTTCTCGGTTCCCCTCTTGAGCCCCTCTTGGGCCCGTCTTGGGGCCTCTTGGTCCGTCTTGGGCGGCACTTGGGCCGTCTTGGGGGCCCTCCTGGGCCGTTCCGGGGCCGTCTTGGGAGCCTCGTGGGCCGTCTTGGAGCGGTCTTGGGGGCCTCTTGGGCCGTCTTGGAGCGTCCGGAAGCCGAAAAAGCCAGAACGCAAAAAACAGCGAAAAAAACAATGAAAATCAACGATTTTGGCCTCTTGGGGCCCTCTTCGGAGGCCTCTTGGAAGGCCCTTGGGGCGTCTTGGAGGCCTCTTGGGCTGTCTTGGGGCCCTGTTGGGCGTCTTCGGGCGATCTTTGGCCGTCTCGGGGCCCTCTTGGACCGTCTTGGAGGCTTCTTGGGGGCCTCTTGGCCCGTCCTGGGGCCCTGTAACAGGGCTCCGGCATCTCTGGCCCGACCTTGCGGGGACCTTGCCGGGGACCTTGCCGGGGACCTTGCCGGGGACCGGCCGGGGACCGGCCGGGACCTGGTCGGGGTACTTTTCGTCTGGGGACCCCCAGGGGCCGCCCCGCGCGCGCGAAGTAGAAACATTGTAGAGCAGTTACCGGAGATCTTAGCACGCCTCTGGCCCGTTGGGCCGGCGAATTTTCTGCGAGCAGTGGAGCGCGCTTGTCAAGTGTCCCCCTCCCCTGCTCTCGCTCCTCCCGCTTCTTATCTTCCAGCTCGCTCCGCACCCTCTCCTCGCCCCAGAGCTGGCCGTCCTCCAGAGTTTAGTCTGGCCCGTGGGTTCTATGCCCCAGTGGCCTGCGGGCTGCTGAGCCCGTGCAGTCAGTGAGATTGTGCTGCTAGCGGTTGTTTGAGGCGCATGTGTTTGTGTCTGTGTGTTGTGTGTGTGTGTGTGTGTGTGTGTGTTGTGTGTGTGTGTGTGTGTGTGTGTGTGTGTGTGTGCTGGGGCATCTCTGGGGCGGTATTCACGCTTAGATCCTCGCTGCGTCCGCATGCGTTTTGGGAACGAGGCGTGAGTACAATGCTAACCCCTCCAGCCGCGGCCCCCTCCCCTCCACCCCCCTCCGACTGCATAAAAAAAACCCAAGCGGGGTTTCGCTCCCAGGACGTTCCAGCAACCCGTGCGGAAAACAAGGGTGCGCTCCAGCACTGCATTTTAACCGAGCGCGAGCGTTCCAGCAGCCCACCGTCGTCGTCGTCGGCGTCGGATGCGGTGGCGGCGTCGGTGCTTTCGCCGTTGCCGTCGTCGTCGCCGACGTCGCCGCGTTCGCCGTCGCCTCTGCCGCCGCCGCCGCCGTCGCTGTGGCCGCTGGCGTTGTCGTCTCCGCCGCCCTCGCCGTCGCCGTCGCCGTTGTCGTCGCCGTTGCCGTCGCCGCGGTTTGCTCATACATCTGTTGCATGGACTTCCTGTTTCGCCCCCGAGGCGCAGTGCAATTCAAGTAGCCGGGGTCCTCGCAGCATCCGTTGCATTACGTCTCGTCGCTTTCCTAGCGTTTTGTTGTTACCGCAGCGCGGCATCTCCTCAGGCGCCTCTGAAGGAGCTCTGGTTCGTGATACGTTGTTCGTCATGTCGTAAAAGCGTTTTTTTGTGTGTGTTTTTTGTTTGCTTGTTTTTTTTTGTTGTTTTGGTGCGGGCGTCTCCCGGGCCGAGCTGTTGCTTTAACAAGTCCAACCGCTGTCAATGTCCCTGCTGCCCCAGGTCTCGGGAGGCTCAGGTTCAGGGGTGCGTGTGTCGGTTTTTCATATCCTGGCTCAGTGCTGGGTTCTACGGTTTATGATTGCGCATGTTGTGGAAGTTGTATTTGGACCAGAGAGGTCTAGGTGAGTGTGGTCACAGTATGTCGACATTTTGAACGCACAGTGCTAGTCTGTTGTGAGTGCGGGCTTCAAGGGAGCAGGGCGTTCGAATTGCGTCACCTGTGGACATTCTTCAGGTTGGCACCACCCTCGACGGTGGAGACACGCCGATCATCATCTTCTCGGTGGGTGCGGCTAAACTTCGCCAGCTGCTTTTGTTTCGCTGCAGTGGAGCGGTCGTGTCCTGATGAGGGTGGTCATTGACCATCTTGTGCGTGTGTCTCAGTGTGCGCTTGTGTACGCTCATGACTGCCAGGCCGTTGTGTAGTCATGTGTCCCTGCTGAACCAGGGAACGCCACTTGCTTGCTCCATTACGTGCGTGTGCAGGAGGTGTACGGCGTGCGGGAGGCGGGAGGAGTTTGCATGCAGACTGGTGTCGCCGCCGTTGCCGTATCTTGCTCGTGTCGTATCGCGCTTTACCCATTGGGCCGTCCATGCTTCGAGCGCGTGAGGGTGCAGCTTTGTCCTTCGCGCGTGGCAATTCTCCTCCCTCCTCCTCTGCCGCCCTGCTCACTCGTGCCTCACCTCGTCCTCTGCCGTCCTCACTCCTCACCTCCTCAACGTTTTGTCTGCGGCAAGCGAGGGGGGAAAGTGAGAAGGAGAAGGCCTTCTCAGAAGGCGGCGGGGCTTCTCAGAAGCCCTCCGGCCTTCTGAGAAGTTTTCTGAGTCTCTGGGGAAGGCCTCGAAACTTCTCAGGAGGCCGGGGGACTTTCGAGTTTTCTGATGAGGTCCCGCCCCCTCTTACTTCCGGCTGGCCGCCGATCTTTCGCTCCCTTTCTCCTCTTCCTCCTCCTCCTCCTTCTCGCTGTCATCCTCGTCCGCCCTGCTCCTCCTAACTCCTCGCTCTTCTCCTTCTTCTCCTCTTCTGTCCTCCACCCTCTCCTCCTCTTCTGGGGTTATTAGAAGACTGTCAATGGAAACGCTAGTGTCCTTAATCTTCTTGGGAGTCCCGCGCCCAGCGCAAATTCTTCGCGCGTCGCGTATCCCCGCCAGAACATCCAGAATCGATTCCGATGGCGAGTTCTCGTGAGGAGGGAACCGGATCAGCATTGTAACGAATGGGGACCGTACATGGACAATACGTTCGAACCCTGCAGCGCGAGATGCCCCCCATCCCCAGGCACCCCAAGCTCATGTTCAGGTTGCGGTAATGTAGCGGGCTCGAGTGGACAGTAGAGATCGGCCCCCCATGTCATCACCCATGTTGAAATCAACATTGAAGTGGGGGGCGGGTGGTGGGTGCCCTCTCGACCCATCTTGAAGCCTCAATTGGAGCAGGTGGGGGGGTGACAAATGATTTCGGGGTCCGACAGGGAGGAGTTACCTATAAGGAGAAGGAATGGCGGAGGAGGAGGAGGAGGAGGAGGCGGAGGACGACGAGGAGCAGGAGGAGGAGGAGGGAGGAGGAGGGGGAGGAGGAGGAGGAGGAGGAGGAGGAGGAGGAGGAGGAGGAGGCCCTCCCCTAGGGGCTTCACCTCGCGGTATAGGTTGTCCCAGGCCATATTGGGGGGTGGGGGGGGGCGAGTCGAATACCTGGCTCGGGGTCCCAGAAGGGGGTTACGGGGATGGGGGGGGGGAGAATCTCGCACGCCTGGAAACCCACAGAGGGGTCGGCGGCTTTCGGGGGCGGGGGGTGGGTGAGCGGACTCCGCCTCCAGTGGGCAGGAGTTCGAGTGTGCTGTCCCTCTTGCTGAGCCCAGCTGTGGGACCACGTGCGAACCCCACCCCTACCCCCCACGATTTCTGAGGGCGAGGGTGGGGTTCACTCCGCTCGGGAGCTCCCGAGCGGAGTGTACCCCACCCCCTCAGAAATCGTGGGGGGTAGGGGTGGGGTTCGCACGTGGCCCCCTTCCCGATCAGCGATTCGGGCAGCTCGACGGCCGGCGGGGGTGGGGTCCAGCATTCGCCGAGCACGTGGCGAAATCCGAGCCCCGCAGTCGGGGCTCTGAAGAAGGACGCCTTTTCGTTGGGGAGGGGCTCGGTGTTCCTTGATAGTCTGACAGTTTGCCTTCGGGTTTCCTGAGGTTTTCGATGGGAAGCCGAAGTTTGACTTCTGGAGAAAAGGGGCCTCGTTCCTTTTTTTGAGTTCCTTGGGTCAACGCCCCGAGCCCTACCCGCCGCCTCCCATCGATTTAGGCGGATCGATCGATGGTTGGCGGGGCTGGGGTCCGGATGTCGCCGCCTGGGAGCTCGTGGCCCCCTGGCTGTTCTCTCGCGGTCCGTGCGGGGCTCCCGTCTGCTTTTTTTCCTGGTCGATGGGCTTCTTGACATTTGGCATCGCTCGGACGTGTGCATTTTTTCTCGGCGAGAACCATCGAGGAACATCCTTGATCATTTGGCGAAAAAACCACGCACGAAACCGAAAAAAGCACAGGAAATGAACGTCCGAGCGATGGCCAGGCCGAAAATGTATGTTTTCTTATTCCTTGTTTTGCCGATCGGCGCGGGCCCTCGCTCGCCCCCCTCCCCCCCTAATTCAGAGGATCTGGGCTGTTTTTTGGCGCCTGCTTCGAACATGTGGAGCCCCCCCATAACCACGAAATGATCGGCTCGATTCGGTTCGGTCCGGTTCTGCAGATGGATCGGCGTCACTTGGCTGGTTTGGTTTTGACGCCGGTTCGGTTTCGGCCGGTTCGGCTTGGGTCTGCCGCCGGTTCGGTTCGGTTCCGGTTTTCGCGCGGTTCGGTCCCACTGGTTCGGTTCGGTTCCTTTGGCCGGTCCCATTCGGTTCGGCCCGTGCGCGTAAGCGACGACCCAGTTTGAAAACAGGAGGAGGAGGAGGAGGAGGAGGAGGAGGGTGGGGAGGAGGAGGAGGAGGAGGAGGAGGAGGAGGAGGAGGAGGAGGAGGAGAGGAGGAGGAGGAGGAGGAGGAGGAGGAGGAGGAGGAGGAGGAGGAGGAGGAGGAGGAGGAGGAGGAGGAGGAGGGAGGAGGAGGAGGAGGGAGGAGGAGGAGAGGAGGAGGAGGAGGAGGAGGAGGAGGAGGAGGAGGAGGAGAGGAGGAGGAGGAGGAGGAGGAGGGAGGGGAGGAGGAGGGAGGAGGAGGAGGAGGAGGAGGAGGAGGAGGCGGAGGAGGAGGAGGAGGAGGAAGAGGAGGAGGGAGGAGGAGGAGAGGAGGAGGGAGGGAGGGAGGGAGGGAGGGAGGGAGGGAAGGGAGGGAGGGAGGGAGGAGGAGGAGGAGGAGGAGGAGGAGGAGGTGAAGGAGAGGAGGAGGAGGAGGAGAGGAGGAGGGGAGGAGGAGGAGGAGTTTGGAATCTCTCCCACCCGGACCCCCCCAGTCCGGACCGCCGACCCCCCCAGTCCAGACTCCCGCCGGTCCGGATCCCTCCTGGACCCCCCCGGTCCGGACCCTCTCTGGTTTGAACCCTTCCCGGTCCCGACCCCCCCCGGGTCCGCACTCCCCCCGGTCTGGCCCCCTCCCAGTCCGGACCCCCTCCCGGGAGTTCCGAACCCCCTCCGGGTCCGGACCTCCCCGGTCCGGACCCCCCCCCGTCCAGACCTCCCCCGGTCCGGACAACCCCTGGTCGGTCGACCTCCCCCCAGATCGGACCCCCCCCGGTCCGGACCGGGGGAGGTCCCGACGGGGCGGGGGTCCGGACCCGGGGGGGGTCCCGACGGGGGGGGGGATCTGGACCCGAAATGGAACGAATTACAACCGACTAGTCCCAACTCCAACCGTTCGGAGCAAATTGCAACCAGAAATGAGACCAATTCCAACCAGAAATGAGACCAATTACAACCATGGATGGGATCTTCGGAATTCCTCAGGATTCCTTCGGATTCTTCGGAATTCCTCCGGATTCCTTCGGTTTCTTCGGAATTCCTCAGGATTCCGTCGGATTCTTCCGATTTCCTGAGGATTCCTTCGGATTCTTCGGCATTCCTCAGGATTCCCTCGGATTCTTCGGAATTCCTCAGCTACCCGCGGGGACAACCGCTCGCCGCCGTGGCGAAAAAATACCCGCTCTCGGATTGCATTTTTGCGTGCCGCCACCGCCGGCTTTATTCAGACATTCCTCTCGGCACGCTCCGCCCCATCGTGGCTGGTTGGCAGTTGGTTGGTGGCCTGGTTGGCTGGCTGGCTGGTTCTTTGGCTGGTTGGCTGCTTGCTTGGCTCGCTGGCTGGTTGGCTGGTTGGTTGCCTGCCTTGCTGGTTGGTTGGTTTGTTGGTTGGCCTACAGGCCTGCGCCATCTCACATGCCGAGGGGCCCGCCCGCTCGCGGATTGCATTTTTGCATGCCATTACTACCACTACTACTGCGACTACGACCACGACCACGACTACGACTACGACTACAACTACGGTTACTACTACTACTACTACTACTACTACTACTACTACCACCACCTATTTCTACTACTACTACTACCACCACCACCGGCTACTACTATTCTTACTACTACTACTACTACTACTACTACTACTACTACGACTAGTGCTACTACTACTACTACTACTACTACTAAAACTAATACGACGACTACTACTGCGACTACTACTACTACTGCTACTACTACTACGACTATTACTACTACTACTACTACTACCACTACTACTACTACTACTACTACTACCATTATTATTACTACTACTACTACTATTACTACTACTACTACTGCTACTACCACTACTAGTACTACTACTACTTCTACGACTTCTACTCCTATCACTAATACGACTACTACTACGACTACGACAGCGACAACGACAACGACTACGACGACTCCTACTACAGCTACTACTACTACTACTACTACCACTACTACTACTACTATTACTACTACTACTACTACTACCTTTATTACGACTACGACTACTACAACTACGACTACGACTACGACTACTTTTGCTATGACTACTACTACCACCACTACTACTACTACTATTATTATTACTGCTGCTACTACTACTACTACTACTGCGGCTACTAGTGCTACTTCTATCACTACTACTACTACTACTACTACGACTACTACTACTACTACTACTACTACTACTACTACTACTACGACTACTACTAGTAGTACTATTATCACTGAGACTACGACTACGACTACGACTACTACTACCACGACTACTACTACTACTGATGCTACTACTACTACTACTACTACTACTACTACTAC